TCGAGTGACACATCCTTACCGTCTGTGACGATGGATGTCCTGTAGTAGAAGCCCAAAAGTTGGAAACCCAATAGACTCAATCCTTAACCCTAAGGCTCTAAGGACTCATAGTTTAAGGCTTTTGGGCCCAAAGACCAGACTAGATAACTTTTGGGCTACTGTGAGCCTTAGGGTCACCAAAACCACGAGAACAGCGACTCTGGGCAGGGCTTGGGCTTGGAATACACGGTTCCGCCAGCCAAGAACAGAGAAAGCATGACAAAAGCCTCAACCCCCCTAGAACATCTCAAGAGCGTAAAGCCGGCAACAAGAAAAGCCGTGTCTTCAAACCCCAAATCCGAGGCCACCTAGACCACATAAGCTCTAAACTCTCAATCCCGATGACCCTAAACCCTAAATCCTAAACCCCAAAACCCTCAATCTAAAACCTAAGCCCCTTGCCCCTTGACCCCAGTCCCTATTAAGCTTTCGACAGCCTTAAAGGAGGCCTTACAGAATCAGAAACGTTGAGGGAAGCCTGAATTTAAGAGACGCCTCCGTTTTCAACCCTAAACCCTAAACCGAATTTTTCCCGGGCGGCAGAACATAGTTCGCCGTTGCAATGGCCTCCCGTAGCTTTCCGGCGTCAAGCCTTTGCTGCTTTCTGTTTTGATGGGGTTTTGGGGGGGTTGGGTTTTAGGGTTTAGGGGTTTAGGGTTTTAATTAGGGGCTTGGGGATTTAGGGGTTTGGGCTTAGGGCTTCTTGCCAGGGCTTCCATAAGTCTCTGCAGGTTCTCTGATACCCAGGACGGAACCTAAAGCACAGGCCTGATGATAGCTATAATAAGGGGTTTTTGGGGTTTCAGTGATAGGTATACCACCACAAGGACCAGCAAAAGCAAATAGTCTGCATCTCTCCCTAAGGGTCCAAAGGACACGATAATAAGGTACTTTAGTTGCGGATAGTAGTTATCTAGGTTAATATTTGGGAGAGTATATGTTAATTAGGTACTTGGACCCTTAGGGTCTTGGCTAGGTAAGAAGCATGCCAGTTCCCGTGTAGATGGCGCTCGAGTTGCGCCAGTTTTGCCAGTTCCATCCAGGATCCCAGGGGGGATCTACATCATCGGCCCGCGCCTAGGTTGGGGTTTGGGGTTTAGGGTTTAGGGGTTTAGGGTTTAGGGTTTGGGGTTTAGGGTCCCTTTATCATCTGCCTTCAAACAGCACGATGGCGCACAGGACCCTCTTAGACCTAACAAAACACCACATCAATGTCCCAAGGGCCTACACCCAGGTGCATAGTGAAGCTGCGCGTGCTGCTCGCGCAGGAGATACCAGGGATAGTTCCTGGTGCTCGCCAGCTGTGCATAAGCGATGGTTGCTATGAGCTCTGGCTCTGGCATGAAGATGGGGAGTGCCACTGCGTAGAGATCGTCGAAGGAGATCATGCCCACATCGTGAGGGAAAAGCACCGCTGCTGCAAAGCGACTGCTGAGCCCAGCATAGGTAGCCATCCTGGGTTCAAAGAAGCGCCATTATTTACCATTATGTGCTAAAAGGTCTCTACCATGGCAGCTTAATCTAACTTCCTTAAGCCCTCAACCCTTAGAGAACCCTTATAGAACCCTTGAAGGAACCCTGAACCATCATAGTTTAAAACCTAAAGCCCTTACCACAGGAACCCAGCATTTTCTAACCCTAAACCAAAAACCAAAACCTAAAGCCCTTACCACAGGAACCCAGCATCACAGCATCGAGATCCCCCGACAAGCCATAGACCTTGCGCCCTGGCGACTTTCCAGGCAGCTTCTTCACCTAGGGTTTAGGGTTTAGGGTTTTCGACGCAGCAATCCCTGAAGGTTTACCCTAAGGCTCTAAGGACTCATATTTTAAGGCTTTTGGGCCCAAAGACCATACCAAAAAAGGCTTTGGGGCTATTTTGAGCCTTAGGTTTAGGGTTTAGGGTTCGGGGTTGTTAAGGGGTCCTTCGTAGCTAAACCCTACACTATAGATGCGTTCTAGAGTTTGGGGTTTGGGGCTTAGGGTTTATGGTCTAGGGATGTGGGGGTTAAGGGTTTGGGGTTTAGGGGTTTGAGAAGCCCTGAGGCTCCATGTACCTATATCGCACCTACTTCGGCCTGAAAGGGGGCTCCTATGTAGGCACTTTATATACGGCCTGTGCATGAGCTATATGTGTTGAAAAATGCAACGCCTTAAGAGTAAGGGTGTAGGGCCTAGGGTCTGTCCAATACATTAGTCTAGGACGCTTTCAGGTGGGTAGCTGCCGTTATAGGAGCCTTATAGAAGGTCTATATACCTTATAGAAGCCTTATGGAAGCCCTATATACCCTATATTTCCCACCTGTAGTTTCCGTTAAAGTAGAGGACTCAATAACGAGGGTTCCCTGAAATGGCTTTAGAAGGGGGTTTACAGGACTTCACAGCGTTATTGGGGGTCCAAAGGACCCAGCAGATGGGTTTCGGATATAGTGCCACTGTAGGTTCGTATTTTGCGTTGTATAAGAGTTGGACAGTTAGCGCAACCCCTTAGTCATGAGGTTTAGAATTTAGGGTCTGTCCAGTTACTACCTGGAAACCCCAAAACAGGTACTACTGGGGGCACCTGGTCGCATTTTTGAAGACCAGGTTGAAGGGAAAGTCGCCAGCATCCGAGACCCTCTGCTTAAGGTATCGCCACAGGCACATGGAGACATCCGGCTTCAAAGCAACATGGTTCTGCCAGAAGATCACCTCCTTCGCATCCTGGGTGCTGGCTAGCGGATTTAGGGTGAAGAGTCTTAGGGTTTAGAGCATAACCCTAAGAACCCTGACACCACAAACCATACACAGCCCGGTCAAAACCATATAACAAGACCACACTAAGCACTAAGCCCTTAGAAACCAATTTTAACAAACAACAGCCATCGCAGCACTGACCTTGAAAAGGATCCCTTTGCTGGAAACCTTCAGGCCCCCCTATCTTACCACTCTACTACGGTTGATGATATAAATCCTGCATGACCCATAATAAGGAATATGCCATGCTTCGCACAGTTTAGGGTCCTAAGGTAATGCAGGATTTATATCATCAACAGTGGTAGGGTTTAGGGTTTGGGGTAGGATACCTTTGTAGCTTTGTCGGGGGTCTTCTCCTGGGATCCGTTAACGGTAAAACTAGTCTAAGGGTCTTAAGGGTTACTGTTTCTAAAAGGCGGGTTACTATCAGAGTTCCTTCGAAGGGTCTGCGAACTACCGAAAGCCCAGCATCGGGAGCAGGGTCGGCATTCAGCGCAGCCTCTGCGGCATAGAGGTTGTGGTTTCGCACCACAGGAAGCAGGCAACCAGTTTGGATCCACACCTAGGGCTTTGAGAAGGGGCGTCATAGGACTTTATCACGGTTCAACAGGAACAGTTTCGGACAATGTCTTTCGAGTGCTTCAGCAGGAACTGCATGGGGATTCTCTATGGGGTTTATTAGAGGGTCAACAGATTCCTACTAGATGCTTCACAAATCTTAAAGAACTTGGTTAGGTCTACGTAGGGTTTTTATGAGCAAGGCGCTTGTTCAGGATCGAATTCACTCCGTGCAGTGCAGTGTTACAGTATGTATGTATGTATGTATATTATATATATATGCATGTACACACACATACAGGTAATTCTGTCCCTATGTTACACAAACTGAATTAAGTTAGGCTCTCAAGTGAAGATAACTGTTGTAAAGCCTTTCAAGATTAAGAAGCGACTTTTACGGTAACTGAATTGCTAAACCTCGGTGAAACCATACGACCGCAATGCACAGCCCATAGCTTGTTCCAAATTCCCCCAAGAAGAGCCAAGACACCTGACGCTGGAGAAAGATCAAGCTAGTGCTTGTCACAGTGCGCCCTGCAGAGACTCAACTCAGCACATGCTCAAAACGGTTTATTGTTTGGTGTTTCAGGCATACGACAGTAGGCTTTAGGCTTTACTGGTTGGGAACTACTTCATGTCAAATCTTGACGCACGCAACCACAATGGGAATATCATCAATCAGAGACCCAAAGAAGGTTTTTCGTTTACCCCAGTATCCTCTTACACAGACAGCTATGCTTCGTCGCATCCTTCAGATAAGTAGGGCCGCCTCAAAGTGGGAAAGGGCAGCAAAGGTGTTGCTGGCTGACCCTGAGGCCGATAAACCTCCCATAGACTTTGGGTACTGCCCCCATACAGAAACAGTCTATAATCGGGCTACTATTAAGGGCCTTATATATATCCATGTTATGAATATTACTGTCAACTGTTACAGGGGGCAGTATCCAACATAAAATTCGTAAACTTCAACCAAGAACCTTCATGGAAACCTAGAGGAAAGCCGTCCAGGAACCCTCGATAACGAGAGCCCTAAACCCAGAACCCTAACTCCTAAACCCCTGATCCCTAAACCCCAAACCCGAAATCTCCAAACCCAAGCCTGAAGTCGTGAAACTTTCGTCCCCCCCCCCTTTACGAGGAACCTTAAAGCCCCAAGTCCCTAAACCCAACACCCTAAACCTAAACCCCTTAGAGAAGAACCTCAAACCAACAAGGAGTCCGTCAAAAGAAACCCTAAGAACCCCCTTTTCCCCCAAGTCTCGACTGGCCGGCAAAGGTCGGAATAGAAACCCAGAGCAGAGTTTAGGGTTTAGAGTTTAGGGTTCAGGAGTTTAGGGGTTTAGGGGTTTAGGGGTTTAGAGTTTAGGAGTTTAGGGGTTTAGGGTTCTAGAGTTTAAGAGTTTAGGGGTTTAGGGTTTTAGGGTTAAGGGCTTTAGGGGTTTAGGGTTTAAGGCTTTAGGGCTTTAGTGGTTTAGGGCTTAGGGTTTAAGGGCTTTAGGGGTTCCGGGTTTAAGGCTTTAGGGCTTTAGGGTTTAGAGTTTAGAGTAGATGGAACATCAATAACCTCGTGCCCTTAAGGTAAAGTGTAGGGGATCAATTCTCCTACACCCATGTTCCAACTATCTGGGGTTCACTAAAGGGTTACATCCAAAACCCTACCTGCACCATCAGAGAACCTACCTGTTTAGGGCCCCTTATGAAGATTTCCTTATATTATCCCAAGTCCCCCAAGAAAAGGTAGGCTCTTTGGGGTCCAGGTAAACCCTAAACCTTAACCCCAAAACCCAAAACCCAAAACCTTAAACCTTAAACCCAAAACCCTAAACCTTAAACCTTAAACCCAAAACCTTAAACCTTAAACCCTAAACCCCTGAACCATGGATCCCCTAAAACAAAGAGACTGCTCAGGCTTTACGGAGGTTTTGGGGTTCGGGGTTTAGGGTTTGGGGTTTAGGGTTTAGGGTTTAGGGCTTATCTTTCCAGAGCCTCGGCTGTGGGTTTAGGGTTTAGGTTTAGGCTTTAGGGTTTGGGGTTTACGGTACCCTTTGCAGGAACCCTATAGGAAACACACAAGAAGTGGGAAAGCGGTTTAAGGACAACGAGTGCTGGGATCCCCTATACATGACATGAGTCTTAAGGATTGAGGCTATTGGGCTCACGAAACCCTGAACCCTAAACCTTAAACCCTAAAAGCCCTAAGCCCTACAAACCCTGAACCCCAAACCCTAAACCCCAAACCCTAAACCCTATAAACCCCTGGCCCCTCGCGCCTCGGCTGGCTGGCGAAGGTCGGACCACCTCGCGGAAGAGGGCGACGAGCAGGGCGCGGTGGTCCTCGTCGGAGGGCATTCCTGGGAATAGGGTTTAGGGGTTTAAGGTTTCAGGGTTTAGGGGCTTGGGTTTAGGGGTTTAGGGGTTTAAGGTTTCAGGGTTTAGGGAATAGGGCTTATAGCTTATAGGGTAGAGGGGGTTAGGGTTTAGGGTTTTAAGGTTTTAGGGTTTAGGAGTTCAGGGTTTAGGGGTTTAGGGTTTTAGGGCTTATCGGGTGTGGCGGTTGTGGGGCTTATTAATTGGGCTTAGCGCTTGTAGGGCTTGTAGGGTTTAGGGCTTGTGGGGTTTAGGGATGTTTAGGGCTTGTAGGGTTTAGGCTTTGGGTGGAGGGTTTAAGGTTTAGGGCTCAGGGGAATGTATTCCTGGGTTCTGGTTGAGGACAGCAGTCTCAGTATCAAAACAGCTTGTTCGTATATGATTCCTTGTCCGGTTGCGGCGG